AACTAGATCTAGAAGTATTCTAAAATCTGAAGAATACAACCCCGGGGTACAAAATGACCCCAGGGCGTACGGATTGGGTAAAAAAAACCAGCTGTAATTTCTGTCTGTTGTGCCATATACCAGTTCTACGTGACCGCTGACGTACATTCGAGCTGCGAGCTATTTTTAGACGCCAAAATTATCGGCGCCCAGCGGGAGTCTGGAGTGCTAACTGATCCGTCGTTGATGGCATCCATCATTGTCGTATGTCGACATTCGACGTTTTCAGAAGTAACCAAAAACAAACAAACTGTCGTTTTATTTTAGGCAGAACGTTGTCGTAATACCAAAAAGTTGAATCCGTTACTGTTTTATTCAGAAGAAGTAGATTCTATAAGGCAAGGATCAAAGAAGAAGTAGATTCTATACGGCTAGGATCAACCCATGCGCCTTATTACTAAACTCTACAACCTGTTTCATTTTCGTTTATTTTCGAAATTTCGACATACGCCAATGTTGGCTGACAGCCACGATTTGTTGGTTGTTGTTGTTTAAAAAAAAAAAATTAGTTCTCATGTTTCGCTGACCGCAAGGTTTGGATAATGTTGTACGCGTGTAGGAAATCAATAACCTTCTTTTGACGTGAGTGTCTTTGTAATGACGTCGTTTCGTGTGAGTAGACATATTCCAAATAAATGTTTGAACAACAGTGTGTTATTATCTACTGTGGTCAAACAAGATCAGTAGTGGAGATATAGTCTGTGCTGTGGGTGGGTGGTGGAGATAGTCTGTGCTGTGGGTGGGTGGTGGAGATAGTCTGTGCTGTGGGTGGGTGGGTGGTACTTATGAAGTGTGGCCAAGAAGAAGGAAGGTATGATGTGGTGATGGTCAAAACAGATTCGTACTAACTTACTTGTACTTTTTCATCCTCTGTTGCCGGTGTGCGTCGAGGGGAGATGCAGTTTTTTTATGGTAGGTCAGCTCTGCAGCTGTCTCAGGTGTGATATGTGTCACGGCGTGGTGGAATCAGGCTCTCGTCAATTTTTGAATATTTAGAGTTATGGGTATCATCTTAAAGCTAGTTCATTTGTCTTGCTTTGGATGAAAAAAAATATCCCATTATCTTGGATGGAAGTCGAGATATTCCCAATGATGGAGGTGGGGGGTCACCTGGTTTCAGAGGTAAAATTAGTGAGAAAATGACCGCCAAAGAGGAGTAATTCCCTTAGCTTGAGAATCCATGGAAACTGAAAATTTACACTTTTAGTCTTTAATCAACGTTTTCCCAGTAAAACACACACAGAAATGTGTTCTTTAATCGGTATGAAAGGCCTGGAACCAAAAAACAAAGCAAAATATCGATAAAAATTCACAAACTTGCGGAAAAATGTAAGTTTCTTCACTTTGATTGTTTTGACGAGCGCCTGATTTCACCACGATGCCTCACATATTGTGTTTTCTCAGGGTTTGAAATGCTGTGCTTAACGGTCAAGATCGAAGGTCTGACGCTGTCTTGGCCAACATAGCAAAAGAGACCTTCACCTACAGCAAGGAGTTTACAGTATGTCTAAGCTCCTTGACCTACAGTCAACATAAATTCTGTGGTGCGGTAAATTTATGGCTATGATTGGTCAAAGACAAAAGTCCGATGTTGTTATGGTCAAATAGATGAGTAGTTGACACATGTGATGTGATAAGGGCGACTATAAGTGGGCCAGGAACGAAGGTCTGATGTGATTTTGCTGTATATAGAACTATAGCAGACATCTGTGCTTTCTCAGGGGTGTTTATGGGGAGTGGTCAGAAACGGTGACTGGTGCGATGTTGGTCAAAATAGACCTGTAGAGGACTTCTGTGTTGTGGTCAAGGTGGCGGCTATGAGTGGTCAAAAACGAAGGTCTGGACAAGTGTGGTGTTGGTAAGAATAGACCTGCAGTGGGCTTCTGTGATGTGGTTGGAGTGCTTTTGAAGAGCAGCCAAGAAGCTCGATGAAGATACGATGCTGGATGAAGGCCCTCACGGGTGATGAAAATTGACCTGTTGACCTCTAGACTCCTGGAGAACCATACCCTTTTCCCATGGTAGTAATCTTGTGTTGGATTGAGAAAACGTCTCTTTGTGTGCGCGTGTGGTGATTACTTCTGAAATGTCTTAATGTGTGACATATGGAGCCAAGTGGGGAACTTTCACTACAAGTAGGGAATACACCGGGATCTAATCCTTGAGAGGCACCCTCCACACGCCCAACGAGGATATCATCGGCAGAGACAAGTGGATCAGTGGATAAGTGGATAAGCCCTGCCTCTCTATCCCCCCCACCCTCTCCCTCATCACACACCCTCCAACACCCCTCTACCCTTTCCCACCCCTCACCTCCAGCACTCACCTCCCACCCAC